CCAAAAAACTATTCAGAATTTGGTAAAGTTGCAGGATAAAAAATTAATATACAGAAATCTGTGGCAACTCTATACACTAACAATGAGCTATAAGAAAGAGAAATTAGGAAAACAATCTCATTTATAATTACATCAGAAAGAATAAAATACCCAGGAATTAATCTAACTAAGGAGGTAAAACCCTGTACTGGATAAAACTATGACACTGATGAAAGAAATTGAAGACAACACAAACAAATGGAAAGATAGACCGCATTCAAGGATTGGAAGATTCATATTGTTAAAATGAGCACAGTACCCAGGCAATGTACAGATTCAGTGCAATCCCTATGAAAATACTAATGGCATTTTCACAGAACTAGAACAAATACTTTTGTATGAAAACACAGAAGACCCAAATAGCCAAGAAAGAACAAAACTGGAGGTATCAGCTCCTTGATTTCAAACTGCACTACAGAGCTACAGTAATCAAGACAGTATGGTCCTGGCACAAAACCAGACATATACATCAATGGAACAGAATACAGAGCCCTGAAATGAACCCGCACTTATCAACACTTAATCTATGGCAACGTAAGCTAGAATATAAAATGCAGAAAAGATAGCTTCACCCATAAATGGTGTTGGGAAAACTGAATAGCTACATACAAAAGAATCTAACTGGATAGCTTTCTTATTACCATATATGAAAATAAACTAAACATGAATTGAAGACTTAAATGTAAGAGCCGAAACTATAACAATACTAAAAGAAAACATAGGCAGCATGTTTTTGATATTAATCTTTTTGATATTTTCTGGGATATGTCTTCTTAGGCAAGGGAAACAAAAGCCAAAATAAAGAAATGTGACCTAAGCAGATGTAAAAGCTGTTGCACAGTGAAGGAAACTATCACAAAACAAAAAGGTTGCCTACTGAATGGGAGAAGATACTTGTAGCTGATCTATCTGACAAGGGGTTAATATAAAAACTACACAAAGATCAGAAAAGAAAGCTAATTAAAAAATGGGCAGAGGACTCCAATAGACATTTTTACAAAGAAGATATGCAGATGGCAAACACACATGTAAAGATGCTCCAAACACGAATCACTAGAAAAATGCAAATCAAAACCACAATAAGATGTCACCTCACACTGGTCAGAATGGCTATTATAAAAAAGACAAGAAATAACAATTGCTGGGGAGGAAGTGGAGTTAAGGAAACTCTCGTGCACTGTTGTTAAGAATGTCAATTGCTGCAGCTACTGTGTAAAACATTTTGGAGTTTCTTAAAAAGTTAAAAATAAAACTCCCTGGATATTTATCTGAAGAAAACAAAAATGGTAATTTGAAAAGTTATATGCACCCTGTGCTCACTGTGGCATTATTTACAATAGCCAAGGTATGGAAGCAACTTAAGTGTCCATTGATGGGTGAATGGAAAAAGAAGACGTGGGGTTTGTGTATGTGTGTGTGTGTGTATGTGTATATACTCATAGAATGGAATTTATTCAGCCACATAACAGAATGAAATTGTACTATTTGTAACAAAGTGGATGGATCTAAAAGATATGCTCTGGGAAAAATGAAAACACCATATGATTTAATTTATATTTGGAATATACAAACTAACACAAAACAAAGCAGATACAAACTCATAGATACAGACAGGAAACTGGTGGTCATCATAGGGGAGGAGGTGGGGGAATGGATGAAATAGGTGAAGGGGATTAAGAAGCACAAACTTCCACTTATAAAATAAATAAGTCACAGTTACGTAATGTACAGCATAAGGAACAGAGGCAGTAACATTTCAACAACTTTATGATGACAGATAGTTGCTGGTCTTATCATGGTGATCAATTTGTAATGTATGTAAATGTTGAATCGCTAATTTTTACATCTCAAACTAATAAAATATCACATGCCAGCTATGCTTTCATAAAAAGTAATATAGAAAAAATGGTATGAGCCTTGCACATTGTTTAGACTGATTGACTTTTTGAACCTCAGTACCCTCCTTTGGAAAGGTGGGGTATGCTGCAGAATTTCTTCAGAGAGTTATGGGTAGGAAATGAATGTAAAGTTCATTTTGGATTTTTGCATGGTAACTTGTGCATTTTGAAATACTTTTTTCAAATGGGTTGGTAACTGTGCATATAACTCTGGCCATTTTATCAGTTCCCTCTCCTTCAGATCCCAAGTGTGTTCCAGTGCAAGAAGCATGTCTTACTCATCTTTATCTATTCATTTTATACCAATGTGTCTGATACATACTATGGGCCTGTAAAAGTTTGCTAAATGAATTAATGAATGATTCTTTCCTTTTTCAGCTCTACAATGCTTTCCCCTCTTTAATACATTATCTCCCAGGAAGTCATAACACAATATTTAGAAACATGATTGAGCAAAGAAAGTTCATTTTCGAGAACATAAAGAAACACCAAAAATCCCTTGACCTCAGTAACCCTCAAGACTTTATTGATTACTTCCTGATTAAAATGGAAAAGGTATAACGTGACCCTGATTTGCTCCTTCATCTTTGTGGGCGATGGGATGTGGCTCATGGAATAGCTTGGTTCTTCTCAGTGAAACGGGTATATTAAAACAAATGCTCCTTCTTAAAGATATACTAATTGCTTGTGCAACCTCTTGTTTGTGGAAACCATAGTGGATGTCCTGAGATATTTCTAAATTCTCACTGAGAATGACCTGGAAGATTTTATATTTACCATATCAAAGCTGATTCTTTATTTGGGGATAGATGGAAACACACACACGAATTCAAGATTAATGATAGAAAGCATGTTCTCTTTCATAAAATAAATTCCATGAATGGAAAATGTAACAAATGAGAGAACGCAGGAATGGGTAGGAATCTAGAAAGGCTTACTCTTGGAAAGGACCTAGGAAACAAGTGAGGTAGGGTTTGAGGAAACCGTGGCTTAGATTAGCAGAGATGACCAAATGGGTTCAGGGAATGACAAGTGCAGTGATCAAGTGTGTGGAATTTCAAACAATTTATCTTGATCATAACTGAGGAACTGTCATGGGTGCAATGACTTTTGAATTTGGGAACAGTGATGTACTTTATAGGTGGGTAGTTCTGGAGCCTTGAGTGAGAAATTTAGATGTGATGAAACAGAAAATAGATGCCTGAACTGACCATGAGTAGCAGTGATGACTTGATAAGACTCAAGTTAGAAATAAATTATTGAAGAATTGATTTGCTCTCGTGGGGGAGAAAGTGAAGACTCAGAAAGGAACTGTTGGAAGTTTGTAACTCTGATTATATTTTAACTGTTTAAAAGGAGTCCTAACAACTCATGTAACTTTACCTTCAGCCATAGCACTCTCTAATGTCTAGCTTAATTTGTCAAATAAGCAAATTCAGCAAGTAATGATGGTTATATTGAATTACTTTATGTTACTTCTAAGACTCTTTCATTTGTCAAGTAATCCCCAACACATCATTCCTAGGAAAAGCACAATAAGCAGTCTGAATTTACCATGGACAGCTTGATCACTACCATTTGGGATGTATTTACTGCTGGAACAGAGACAACAAGCATGACTTTGAGATATGGACTCCTGCTCCTGCTGAAGCACCCAGAGGTCACAGGTACGGTCACAGATGATGGACAGAATGCAATTTTGGGTAGAAATTGGCAGGCAGCACTGATGACGATTCTACTCTTCACCTGTCTATAAAATGTACCTGAGAAACTTCCATTGTTAGTACATCCTCCTGCCATTGGATGAATTAAGTTCAAATCAGATGATGGTACAAAAGGAGAATGAAATATTTAACCAGCAGCAGAGTGTTGAAGGGCAGAGGACATTGTTCTCCACGCTGTGGTGGAGCATCCCTGATTTGCTTCAGAACAGAGGCAGTGAGCAGAGCTGTCTTAGGACCTGGAAAGAATTAGCCTTCCTCTTTCTCTATAAAGATATTACTTGAAAGGCTTTCCAAGTGCACATAAACATATTTTTGTCAAAAGACATTTCTATTCAAATGCATCTGCAATGTAAGGATTGATTGTACAAAATCACAATCTTCATCAAAAAGAATCACTCCCTAAATTTTAAAAGCCATAAAGAGAAAAATTCTTTTCAGGTATATGTTTTTGGGCAAACAAATTTTCCAATGGAATCATGAATAAGAAGATTTTAAAAAGCCTCTATCATTTGACATAAATTCTGCTTCCTATCTTGCCAGCTAAGGTCCAGGAAGAGATTGACTGTGTGATTGGCAGACACCGGAGCCCCTGCATGCAGGACAGGAGCCGCATGCCCTACACGGATGCCGTGGTGCACGAGATCCAGAGATACATCGACCTGGTGCCCAGCAACCTGCCCCATGC